AACAAGTTCATTCACAATCGCAAAACTTTTCTCCCTGTTAACGCTGAAGTGAGGAAAAAAATTCTCTCTCCCTCCCAAGCTCCCTTCCCCACTCTCAGAAGTTTCCCAAACAAGCAATATGGCGACGCTCTAGTTATTGTTGTGCGATGGTGGTGTTATTTTCTTCGTGGTTGTAGTAATGCAATATATTATGTACTATGATTTACTGTATTACAAATTTTACTATGTTTTACTGTTTAGAAATTAGTAATTAAATAATAAAATACCAGCACTGACTATGAATATACCACTAAAGCCATTCACGTGTAATCGTGTCTAATGTTTGAGAGAACGTTGCTGATAACTGACTACTTGTGAAATGGAGTTTCTGTGCATGAAATTGATTTTCCATCTTTACTTTTATCCCGAAAAACAATGGGCTTAAAGATGAAAAGTGATAATTTCAGACTTGATAATTTGGTTCAGTGTGCAGATGCAGATGTGATCAGATGTAGAAATATAGTTTTTGCATTCTACTGAAACTGTATTTTCGAAAATTTATTTTTTTGATTACATTTTAGAAATACTTTTTTAAAGCTTGTTCATCTAGATGATTTATCATTTGAATATTATGTACTAATAAATTTGAGCATACCTTACTTAAAAATGATCTTGCATGATTCAATTTTCAATTTTTCGACTAATGTGATATGGCAGAGCAAAAAGAACGTTTTTTTTATGTTTTAAAAAAATGTACTAATTATATTTTGCGAGCAAAAAAGGTAAGTTTTATTAATGAAATAAACATTGAAATATTTAATGTGTTTATTACTTATTGAATGGGGTAGACAAGACATACAAGCTTAAGGAATCTTTTTTCCACTACTAAAATTATGTGAAAATTTAGATGATTATAGTAGCTTACATTGTTTTTTAATACTTTAAGTAAGAAAATATAGTTATTTCTTGAACCTGTTGAAAAATAAATCCGTCTATTGCACACAAGAACAATCCCAAATGTAATGTAATGATATGGAATAATTAATATCATGATAGCACTTTAGATCACATTTAGGAAGAGTTTTAAATAATTAGTCCCATTGTTGTAAGTGAGTGAGATAAAATTTTGTTAATATCCTTGAAAGAGAAATCTTGAGTAGAATGTAAAAATGTCTTGTCAATAACACTTTTTTTTATTTATTTATGTTAAAAATCAATTTATGTTGTTGTTTATTTATGTCTATTTGATGTTAATCATCTTTTTATTTTTCTTTACAAGTATGAGACTAGAACCACATTTTTACATTAAATATTTTATGCTATTTTGTTAAAACACATGTAATAATTTTTATGCATACTTTAATTTTCATTATTATTAGTTTGATGAAGAAAATTTCAAATGTGTTTTTCATAAATGGCTTTTGAAATAGAAATAGATTGGCGAATAAGATTTATGTAATATTAAATGTACTCTTAGGAGTATAAAAAGGGAATTATTTATTTGAAAAAATTACATTAAGTTGAAACCTCATATAGTGGTTATTTTCTTAAATGACCACCTCTGATAATGACACATTTGTCAGGACAATAATTAAATAACAGGACTTAGAAAATCACTCATAGTTTTGTCAGGTTACAGGAAACTGGCATTATCTCGAATTGTGGAGTTGATTGTTTCAGGAACATTTTGCTGTATAATCAATTGACTTCGGTGTAGTAATTTTTACGTGGGTATGAATTTTGCAGAAGTAATTGAAAGTTTTTACGAGACAATTAAAAACCAAAGCTTTTCGGATCATGAGTCTTATAAGGGCACTGTTATAGCATTGCTTTCAAATATAGTTAGAGTAATATTTAAACATTATTTTCGGAAGCACTTCCACAGAGAATCCGGTTGTTCTCTGCGGATGAAAACCCATATAAATAAATCTTCTGTACAGCCTTATACAAATGCAGTTAAAATTACTGTCATTACAATTAAGCGAATACAGTCAAAAGTCGTTAATCCGGACTCGTCGGGACTAGAAAATTGCAACCAGAAATTGCAACCAGAAATAGTCGAAATTAGAAAATTGCAACCAGAAAACTATTCGATGTGTACTCGTGATATTTATAATGACGAGGAATTTGATTTAAATCATATCAAAGACGGAATACATCGAGATGAAATACTACATTTAGTAAGGAATTATAAGCTGAATAAAATAAAAACATCTGCCCTGAAGATAAGGATAGTGTTGACAGATCAACTTCCAGTTCATTGTGCGCCGCGACGTCCCCCCCCCTTGCAGAGTAGCGTGAAATTGATAAACAGATTTCGGAATGGTTAGAGAAACAAAAAGGATATGCCTTTACCCATTTTTTGCAGCAATTTCACTGTTTGTTTGATGGACATCGAAACGTACTTACGCTTTGTAGATCCTTTACGTATTAGTAAATATATAACGGAAATTCTATTTGACATAATCGAAAGTTCAAGCTTACTTTTATAAAATTGCTATAACAGTCTGCAAAAAATAATAAGCCCGATCCAATTCGAAGATTAAGGAACAACGCAATCTGCAACATTAACTGAAATAGATAATTTTAGCTTATACCGTCCGTTATACATTAAACGCGCCTGCGTAAGCGTATTATGCGCATGTGCACACGCATATGCGCAGTCGTAAAAGTCTTACGCGCATGCGTCAAAGTTTGTAGCTTTGAGGTCCGGATTATAGATCATTCCGGATTATGGGTGTCCGAATTAACGACTTTTGACTGTATAGCTACATTTGTTTACAAAAAGTTATTATTGCTAAATACTGCACTATATAAATTTCATTTGGCATTGTAATTTCAGAAAATGCTCAGCATGAGGTATTTTTATATTATATAATCTACTGTCAAAAACAATAGCTAACTTTTCAGTACTTTAAATTTTACTATTTAGAATTTTTATGGCTCAAAATAATATTTCTATACATTTTCTAAAGTATTCTTTCTACATAGAAATCTAAATAACTTCCACCTAAAACACTGACTCAAATTTATTCCAATAAAGCATCGCTTTAATTAAATTTATGTTCCTTTGAGATGATATATGAAAAACCTTGTGTAATAATAAATTATTAATCTATATAGGTAAATGGTATTTTTATATATATTTTTTCGGGTAAAGTGCAGAATCGCCCACTTATTTATTTGGCACTTTTTACAAAAGTAAAAAGAATTGGATTTTTGTCAATTTTCTTTTGACTTTTTAAGTGAAAATAGGTCGATGTGTACATGGATAAAGTCAAAGGAGTGCGCAATGCCATTTTTGTGCAATTCTGGGTTTTTTTTAAGTGAAAATAGGTCGATGTGTACATGGATACCGAGTATGTGCAATTCTTAAAAACACGCCAAGCAGTGGACGATTCTACACTTCCGTCATTTTCTATAAGAATTTAGTTTCATTAAATTAGTTATTTAGTATAATTATGTGTATATGAGTATATTCATACTTCTTCACATAGATGGAATTTTTACAGTACGGAAGTTGATCTTTTTTACATCAAGAACTACTTAGAGTATAAATACCCATTATGTTATAGATTTTATTTATATAAAACCTGTGGAAGATTATATAGCACTAAAAGTGAGATATGGAATAAAACATTATACGCTATGAGATATTTCCTTAATACCCGAACTGCGCGTTGAGAATTGGTATTTGTTGAGACTTGTAAATTTTTTAAAATTAGTTTTGTTACAATAAAATTTATTTTATTTTGGGTATTATTAAGTTTATTATATGTTATCTTCATGTTTCATTTATCTTTTGAGAGATACAGGTAACATTCAAAGTATTGTAATAAGGGGTCGGCACAATGTTTGTATATTAGTATTATTTCTTTACTACATTATATTTTAGGATTCATCCTTTCTTCCACGCAAAACATCTATGTGTTTGCGTGTCATAATAAGCTGCAGGGTGTTACTATTAGTGGTAAGCGAGCTTTGTAAAGATAATTTATACAAATATTTTGTAATATGTTTATAGATATTGACGTGCATTAAGAAGGATGGGCTCGTAGGCTTCTTGATATTTTAAAATTTTTATTTATTCGCATTGAATTTTATTTAAAATTACTTTACATGCTTTCTCCGCCATTTAGTTCTGTACATTTCATCAGTGCTAATTGTGTACTTCTGCTGGTTTATGTTTTTATGGAAATTTGATTTACAATTCTATTTTTGTATATTGTTTTTTATAGGGATTCTGTATATGGATACCCGTTCTATGTACGATTCTATGTATGGATACTCCACTATGGTATAATGCTATTGGTTCTGTTTATGGGTTTTTTTGTTTACTGTTTTGTGCAGCGATTTTTCCAAGAGGTACCTTTATTGGTCTGTGGATTTTTGTGTAGTGGTTTTTACAGGATTTGGCGTATGGGTGCCTGTATAGGTGTACATGCTTTTGTCTACTGGTTTTTACAAGGCATAGACCTACGGAATATACATTTTTTAATGGAAATTTGGCCAATGGATATGCATATAAAGTTCCGATTTTTGGCTATGGATTTTGTTTATAGTGCCTACAGTTCTACAGGTTTCTACAGAGATTTGGCCTACTCGTATCCGTACAGTCGTACGGGTTTCTGTTTACAGGTTTTTTACGGTTATTTGGTCTACGGGTACCCGTACAGCTATGCAGGTTTCTTTCCATGGGCTTTTATAGGTATTTGGCTTACGGGTACCCGTACAGCCGTACGGGGTTCTTTTCTATGGGTTTTTACGGGGTATTTGGCCTACGGGTACCCGTACACAACCGTACGGGTTTCTTTCTATGGGTTTTTACCGGGATTTGGCCTCCGGGTACCCGTACAGTTGTACGGTTTCTGTCTGTGGGTTTTTATTGGGATTTGGCCTACGGGTACCCGCAGAGCTGTATGGGTACCCGTAGGCCAATTCCCCGTAAAAATTTTATGGGTTTCTACGAGGCATTTTTAGCAGGGTATATATAATACATTTTTATTTTATTCTATTTTTAGGTTTATCACGGTGCGTTTTAAACCCACATATAGTTTTAAACTCTTTAAAAATGTAGTTCGAGATACAATGGAAATAAAATGAATGATTCTAACAAAGAGCCACTTCATCCTGTTATGGATACGGATTTTAAAGATGTAGACCTTAGCTCACGGGACGAAGCAAATGAATGTAATGGAGATGTTTCAGCAACCGATATTACAAGTGAAAAGAAACAAGTAGCAGAAAATGCAAATTTAGAAGATGTAAGTATATTGATTGTATAAAAGTTGTATTTGTTTGCATATTAGGTTCTGATTATTTTCTTGTAAGGTAAAAAATTAATTAATTAATTAATTAATTAAAATAAATTAAATATAAATAAATAAAAACTCCTCTTCAAGTCATTCTGTTACAGAACATTCTTTATAATTTCTGCTATTAGCAGCTTAAACTTGAAAGGTAATTAAAATATTTCTTCTGTTTATAAAACGTGTTTTCACAAAGTACATCTACGTTTAGGTTTTGGTAAAAATATACCAAGCAGGTTTCCTAGCAATTCGTTAGCTTAATAATTTGCTTTAATGCACATATACTTTTCTTATTCAGTTGCATTTTTGTTTCATGTTAGTCGTGTTTTTTAAATACAACTTCCAAAAATATGGCCTACTAGCGGCTGAGCGGTAAAATCGCTGAATACTGGTAATTCGGTCCGGGGTTCGAATCGCGGCGAAAGAGCAGGCTGCAAGAGCGTTTTCGTGGTTTTCCCGATGTGTAATAAGTATACGAGCTAGTTTTCCCTAGAAAGTCCTCCATGGAGATATTCCTTTTTTCAGGCAAATAACCCTCGAATAATTCGCCATAATCAAATAAACCAAACCAAATAAAAATATATGGGGCATCACAAATGTGAAGCATGCATCAAATTATGGTCTAGTTAGTTTCAAAAGTAAACATAAAAAAGAATATCCTGCCTCCTTCCTGTGTTAATTTCCTTTTTGTTGACAGCATTATTTTACTGATGTCTCTTACGCTATTAAGAAAATATATAATTATAGGTTTTTCTGTAATTATAAAATGAATATTAAAGGAAGTTACTGTTTTTTCTTTGAATGAGACATATGCTTTCCCTAAAAAATATTAACAACAGTTATATGATGAAACAGCTGTTCACGAAGGTAATGACAAGAACATGCTGCCTTTGATGTAGAAAACATAAATTCTTCAACGATAAGTTATTTTAGGAAAACATAAATACGTCTTGAATAAACGCAGATAATGAATAGATTAATTAACAACTAAACAGAAACCAGACATAATAAATTAAACATAGCATCAAACAAACGTTTCATCTGTTATCCTTCAGTTAATCACGCAGGAGAATGAAAGTAAGTAATAAAGACAGTTATGTGTCTTAAACTAATACATTTAAATAACAGGAAATAAACCAAATACTTATTCCTCGCGTATTCCAGAAACTAATTTTGCATTTCCTGTTATTAAGCTCATATTTCACTTCGTTACATAACACGTTCTCAGTAAACTTTCAAACATATTTAAGATAATTTTACAGTAAACATTGCATTAAATTGCTGTCGAATAAATATGCAAGTTTTTAATTTGAAGTTAAGAAATATTTTGAAATTTATTATTTTAATTTCCCAAAGGAATAAGGTCTTTAAACATTCCTGTTTGCCTTCTGCATGCATGTCGAAAAATATTTTAAGAGCTTTTATAGAAAAAAAGTAGAAGAAAAAATACATATTTATGCCCTAAATTTATTTTTAAAGCCATATAAATCATACATTTCTTTTAAGTCAATAAATTATTAATTATTTTGTAAAATTTATTATTTATATTGAGGATCAGAGTTTCAGACTTCCTGAGATTAAACTCGAAATTCATTCTATAACTTTGATTATTTTTCAAACGAAAGAAGGAATAGTTTATTCCTAGAAATTATAATAAAACTTGATTTTAACTTTTATTCCTAGAAATTATAATAAAACTTGATTTTAACTTATCCAGAATTTATAATTTTTAATAAATTTGTTCTTAAACCTTTCTTTTGGTACTAATTTTCCTACAATTTTTATCCTGTGTCCATAATAAAGCATATTTTATTTTGATTGCAAGATATGTTTGACTCATACCATGTACTGATCGTAAAATTAAAAAATATATCGAATGCTAAAAGTGCGAACCTCTAAAAACGAGTTTCAGGCTAGATGTGACGAACTTTTGGGGGTGTGATAATAATTTAAAAAATATAGTGAAATGTATCTAAGATGACCACCTTTCATTTAAGCTGCTTTAGATCTTTTCTGATGGTAAGACATGGTTTTTAGTACCAATGTTTTCAATTTCATACAATCTAATGGAAAGCTGGACGCAAGCATCAATATGTTGTTATACATAAGCTAATCAATATACACTGAATTTACTTCTCGTTTATTTAAGTTCTCTAAGAAGCTGGGTGGTCATAAAAAAACTTCTCCGATATATGAACCTCAGAAGCCTATCCGCTCAACTAATCGAAATGAAATTTATTTGACATTTTATTTGACAGAATGCACTCAAGAATGTGATGATTTAAAAAAATAGAGCTCTCACGGTTACGATTTATAGTGAAAATACTTCGAAATTCTCGAATGGTAACACCCACGTTATTCCTAAATAAATTCACCAGTGCATTAAAATGTATAAATGGCGCTGGAAAATTACGCATATGACGAAAATTGCCGGCGGAAATTTGAGTGACAATATAGGAGAGGCGAAGGAATTTTTTTAAAATTGAAATTACAAGTTTATTAGAATCATAAGCACACGATTGTCCCGATCGTGGTCTATCACATATTCATTTAGTTTTTTCGGAATTGTGTGCTAAATCACGTACATTTCTTACGGAACGTGGACCTCGTTAAAGCTTACGATTTCGCAGATAAACATGAAAGCTTCAGCAGCATTTTTATCATGAGATAAAACAACTTTATCAATTCAACTCGTTGTTTCTCTTTAAGTGCCATTTTGTTAGGAGGTTCGAACACCTGATTAAAGCAATAGCCTTCCTATACTGCTTATTAACGGTTCACACATGAAATGTTTTGTGCATGGTACTCTAAGTTTGGTGCTTCTAGCGTTTATCCTTAGGAATTATGCATACTCTTCTTTCTTCAGAAAAGTTTTAAACAAATGCTTGCAACTTTCCACTTTTCCAGATTGCCTGAAATTCAGTCAAATAGGTTTTTCGCAAAGAAGGACGGAAGATCCTTACAGCCCGAAAGTTTATCTTTCCGTTATCGTCTTACGAACAATAGACATACTACTAGAAAAAGTTTTTTATAATAAAGAGTAACACATCATATTCACAAAATAAACAATTATTAACTTGAACAAGTTGGCGTTTCCCCGAGATAATTCATCATGCACGCAATTTACCTTGTCAAAGAAACTTAGGAAGAACAAATATAATGAAATTGCTCCGCAGTACTCAAACCCTGCAGAGTGCATTTGATTCGCTATCGTGACTGGGTGTTCTAAAAGCGCTAAATAAAGTCAAATGCCAGTCCAACTTACTCCATCTAGTTAGAGAGTATTTTAAAAATGGAGCTAATTTCATCCATTATAATAACACCATCATAAAACGACTGCAACAAAGAGACTACCATCAAGACTCACGCATGATCCTAGATGTTTGGAACTTAAATTTTAATTCCTTTACATTCCACATATAGGCATATATCACGAAACAGTGACTGCATTTTGGAGAATATGTTCTCTGGTTATACTTGTGATACAAAACAATAGCCCAGAAACCGTAAATATCTTCAGGAACATCTGTATTGTATCTATCCGTCTCCAGCCCCTCACGTGTGAACGCTGAAACTGTTCTCTTTACCTGCATTGCACTCTTCTACCATTATTAAACCATTGACTCGCCCAACATTCTTTTTTTTCCACCCCTCAGAACTCGTCGAAGCATTCGATCTGCAAGGAACAGACCACTTTTGTGGACTTTGAAAAGGACCGAATGCAATATTTTACTTGCACTTTTGTCAAACATAGGCCTGGTGAGCTTGCAATCCTGGAACGTTTTTAGTAAAATTAGTTCCGTTAGCAGGGTGAACTGGCCGGTATGCTAACTGTCCTAGTGAATCGGCTGTCCCATCATCGGTGGAAAGAAAGCAACATTTGCAAAGAATTGAAATTAATCATTCCCGAAGAAACATCTCAAGCAGTTAGTTTTCATAAACCTCAACAGCCGAACACTCGTAACCCAAAACTTACAATAAGTGGAAAACAATATCGAGATTCGTACGAAATTAAATATTTAGGAGTAATAATCGACAGTTAGATTTCTTATTTTTTCCACCTTAATGAGCTGAAAAAACAAAACTTGATTCATTCTCATGAGCATGCACAGCTCTTATTAGGGCTTGAAACCAGCAATTAAAAAACTATATATAGCCCCATGATAAAAAAAAAGGTCACCATGTAGCATCAGCCCTGGCAATTCCTATGACAGATAAAAATATGATGCTGATTAATATGCACCTTTCCTTCTCAATATTTCAAGAGCGTATAGGACTACTTTTAACTCCATATATTTAAATAGGAATAACAACTTTGTATATCAAAGCACAAGATGAATACTACAGTAGAATTCCTATAACTGAATGTTCTTAAAAATGTTTTCGGTAATAGCTTCAGACCAGCCAGCCATGAGCCTAGGAACTCTTACCTCGATTGCCACTCAGCTCAGAAAGAACTCTCACACTACCAGCAAGACATTAGCATCTCTGCCATCTTACCACGTAGATTTCAAGGATAATTCCAAAATAGAAGGAAATATAGTCTGTGCATATGTGGTTATGAGGCACACTACAATTTTTAAAACATGAAAAGAACACCTAGCGAGCGAAAATAGTACATTCCAAGCAGAATTAACTGCAGTACAGAAGATAATAGAATATGCAAGACCTAGCATAAAAATATTACATATCCAACCAGACAGCAATCAGTACTACATGATGTTACAAATATATATATATCACAGTTGTCCGAAAGTGAACAAAATTCATCAAAAATTAAACAGCATGTGTCAAAAACAGTCATCTCATGTGTCAAAGAACACGAAGGAAATAATAGAAACGAACAAACAGATAAACATGCGACAGAAGCTACACAAAAAACAACAAAAATAAACAACGAGATGCTACACATACCATTACCAAGAAGTCATCTCACTACCAGTCTGCAACAAATATCAATGACCGCATGGCAACAGCAATAGGATATCATAAAAAGGTTAAAGATGACTTTGAACCTGCTTTGTGGTAGATTAGGAGGCGGTCCCTGTTATCTGTTCAAATGTCCAATAACAAAAGATTACCACATTTCTCTTCCTTCACAAATAACCCAAAAATATACCGTTTTCCTCATGAAAAGGAAAAAATACAGAAGAAGCATTAAAATAATGAATATGGTGGAAAACATAGGTGGAGATTTATGTTATCCCTGATGAAGAATTTTTCCCTTTGAAGAAAAACATTATTAGGTTAACCATTTTGTTTTTACTTTAGAATATTTGCACGCATAAAACGCCCATTAAGTCATTAGCATTCATTTTACGAGATCTCTTATAAGCTACATTCCGGGCAAGCCATCACCATGGCAAGCATTGCATCAGCATAAATACATAACCACATATATAATAAGAATTCGTGTTCACAAATCTGGCTTAAGCATTAATGCTGGAAAGTAATAATTTTGAAATAACATCAAACTTACAGAAAATTATAATCGCAGGGCAGACTTCTTGACCACATGGTAAGTTACTGGTATTAACAATCAACTATTTTGAGTTAAAAACAGTAATTCCTTTTTTCCAGTTTTAAATTTAAAAGCTTGCGGCTCCTGCATCGCATGCGCTGAGATGACGACGCTGTGTGAAACGCATATTATAGAAATATGTTATGTTTCGAATATTTCGTAATAGTTATCCTCCTATTTATTGTAAATAAATTTATGTGAGAAACATAATAAATTTTAAAAAATGAGGAAAATGTTCCTTTTGGAATGTTTTTGCCTCATATCTTGAAGAAACGAGTAGTCAGTCAAACACAATCTAAGCATTTATCCGACTTAAAAACCTTACTGGACTTCTTGATTATATGAGGTGCAGACTTGGCTTTTGCAAATTTGCTAGAGCAGCGTCCATGACTGGAATGTGATCTAGAATCGTGTCCCAGTGGAAGCATAAGGAACAATAGTACAGAGAGGCTAACTGGTTCTTAATGTGACTGAACAGAATTACCGATTACAGACGAATATTCACATTTATGTATGAATATTTAAGCAGTGACATTTAATACTTTGTATTGTTTATTAATAAACTCTTGGACTGTAAAATAATGCTAACTTTTCAAACAATCCATAATTGTGAAATAATGTTGATTGTAAAATAATATTAAGTTAATTCATGGATACAGAAATAATGCTTTCTCTCTTACGTGCTTTATTGTACCTTTTATTTCCAGGAAACCTTCAACATAACATGGAGACTATATAAAAATTATAAAATAAGTATATGCAAACCTCTCATACCTTTGAAACTAGCTTTGATACTTTGGTTTGGAGGTAAGAAACTTTCATGATTTACCTTCTTATATGTAAATAAGCCTATATTATTTATGAATGTATATCTTTGGGTTAACGCTTTACTTCACCTTCTTATTCAAGCTTATATATATACAGGTTGTCCTGTAAATGTTGATAGAAATTTCAGAGGAAGGAAGAGCACATCGTAAGGATTAAGAATTGCATAGGAACCCATGGCCGAGAAACGTCAATATACGCCGCCAGGAGGTGCTGTACAGGATAGTGGAAAGAGAGGATTGCCTCATTCAAGCGGTAGGCACCATATGTAGAGCATGGAACTCTACACGAACGTAGAACTTGCAGACATGCACTTAGTGTATGACATAGTTGAGGGTAATGGATGAGCCGCTGCCCGCATTTATAGAGAACGTTTCCCCGACAAATACCAACCACAACACTCTTTATTTGCATCAAAATTTGTGCGACAATGGATCATTATGAAATGGCAGGACAAGTGATGGCAGGCGACGATCGACTCGCTCTATCGTTAAGGAAGAAAGTGTGTTGGATATGGTGGAGAGTAATCCAAGGACCAGCATACGTGCAATTGCCTCTCAATTAAGAATGTCTCGCACCAGTGTCCAGCGTGTTTTGAACGCCGAGTCTTCCCACGCCTTTCTTCTCTAGAGGGTTTAGTTACTGCTCCCGGATGAACGTGTACGTTTCGAGCAGTAGTTTCTGCAAGAAAGTGCCCGTGATGTTAATTTCCCAGCTGATGTGTTGTTTACGGATGAGGCCACATTCAATAGGGATAACGTATTCCATTACCACAGTCAGCATTTGTGGGCTCAAGAAAACCCAAGCGTTGTGTGTCACCACACGGCACATCAACGCTTCAAAGTCAACGAATCTCGTGGCAAGACTCGCCTGCGCAGCTGCTACAATCAGAGAAACTCTAGGTGTATTTGAACACGTCCAGCAATCAATAGTTTATTGGTGCCAGGCATGTTTAGTGTCTGATGGGGCAAACTTCGAGAATCTGTTGTAACATTCAAGCTGTCGTACACCATTTGTATTCACGTAAAATAAATGTGTCAAATTAATCACTCTTGTTTCCTTTCCCATCTTCTACCTCTGCTACCACTTACTCCTGACATTTCCGGGCATATGTTCCTATGCAATTCTTAATCCTTATGATGTTCCCTACCTCCCCATAAGTTTCTCGCAACATTTACGGGACACCCTGTATATATATATATATATATATAACCTGAGGCTTCAGACAAAAACATGTATGGAAATAACTTGTGTCCAAAAAGTCCTTACTTGGCCTTTATATTCTCAACCGCTGATGGTGGGCGTATAATTTCCGTTGCAAAAATGTTTCAAATGAAGCAAAAATTCATATGCTCATATTTTTTTAAAAAATATTTCTCAAAATAAGAAATATAACGTTTTACGTCTTCTACCGATCATGAGTTTAGGAACATTTTGTACAAATTTATGAAAAATAAAGCACAAAAATTTTGACACCTATACGACAAAAACTGACCGAAATGTTTGATATTAAAAAAGAAAATTTAGACGCCGTACGTTAATTGAAAACCGTAATGTTTGCAGTGGTAAGTAACTTAAAATAAAATATTATTTAATTTTTGCATGAAGGACATTGATAAATATATTTATTATATTGTTAAGAGATCAAGTAAAGAGCATCACTATGCAAATTATTCTGAAGGACATTAATAAATATATTTATTTATTTATTTATTTTTTCCAAAACAGAGATATTATTCACAGAATCTTATAGAGTTCGTATTGGCATAGTCAACTAGTAATGCGAACTAGTTCTTTGCATTAATTAAAAATTAAAATATTTAATTAATACAAATTTAAATTTTGCAAATTAAAATTTTTAACTAATTTATTTCCGCAATGAACTGCTTATTATAAATTACTGTGAAAATCCTTTTAACATACCAAATGTATCAAAATTAATAAAACATTAGTAAATCACTAAAGAATAGCATTGAATGTCATTTAAGGAGAGATAATCAACCTTGAATTATTCTAATATATTTATGAACCGAGTCCTTAATGCAAACTAAGTATGACGTTAAAAATCGCAAATTTTGAAATTAAACATCTCAGTCAATTTTTGTCGTACAAGAGTTAAGCTTTTTGTGTTTTATTTTTATAAAGAGGATAAAACTTTTGTAAGTACGAGTATAACGACCGGAACAATGTGTAAAAAGGGAGGTTTCGTATTTTAAGCAAAATTATTAAATTTTTTTAAATACAAAAACACAAATCTTTACATGATTAAAACATTTGTGTAATTGAAACTATATATTTACAACCAGAAGTTGCGGAAATAAAAGCCGGGCAAGGAATTTTGCAGATACAATGCATACTGATTAGCTAAAACATTATGATCGCCCCTACACTGCCTGAAATGATCAAGATGGCACACGAGTAAGTGAAAAAGTTATTTAACGACTGCCTGGGATTCAGAAGACTTATCTGTATATACTAAGAAGCCTGCTGAGTTAAGCGCCTTTGGTAATGGTCCTAAAGATAGGGATGAATATCTCCGAAATGACACTGCTGTTAGGATGTTTGTGAGCTGCCCTTTTAGCACTTATAAAAAGTGAAAGAATAATAATTACCAGTAGTAGATGTCGAGGCGTAGGATGTCCATGCCTGATTTACGGATATAAGCATCGGCGAGTAACTTGCTTCATGACCGCAAATAGGTAACTGCCTGTGGGGCAGTAGGTAACTGTCTATGGTAACAGCTGAATGCAAGTATGCCTGAGCACATAATTCCTTGGACACTGTTTAGAAGTAGGATTCTGCAGCAGTCGCCCCTCTCATGTGTTCTGCAAACAACTACAGTAGGCCTGTGAACATTATGACTGGACACATCACAATGGAAAGAGCTGCCTGGTCCATTGATTTCAAATTTCTTTTATATCAAGCTGATGGTTCGTGCCATAATATGTTGCTTTCAGATGAAAACTTGATCGCTCATAGGACTCAAACAGGCCTGTGAATGAAAGTATGCTCTGGGGAACATTCTCATAGGAAATCCTGGAACCGATGTGTAAGTTAGAATGAATTGTGACAGCTACAAACTATATGTCCACTGTTGCTGACCAAGTACACTCGTTTATGTCTTTTGAATCCTGCACCAGAAGTAGACCGTTTCAGCATAACAACTTTTTTTGTCATAAGGCCGAAATTGTCCACAATGCACAATGATTGGTAAAGCATACTGATAAAAGAACTTTATATCTTGATTTCCTAAAGAACTCTTGAAAAATTGCCGTATTTTAAGCCTTTTGATCACATCTAAAGTGTTCAACAGCGCGAGCTCGGAGCTTACCGACTTTTCTCAATTTGCTGAAATTTCGTGACCTCTGCTTGCAAATTTGATATGATCTTCTTCCGGAAACTTAGATAACAAATTTGTAGAATCGGTGCTACGACGGACTGAAGATATTTTGCGTGTCAGAGACATGGACCTTATAAGAAACAGACTAACCCAAATGGGTTTTCTCCCTCGTCTGAGACGTTCCCGGCTATCACCTTGATCACATGCGAAGCAGTAGGGACGCCTTGCAGAAATTTAATAGTTGTTGCCTATTGCAGCGTGTATAATTGTCAAGAAAAAGCTGGTTGTAGCGCCTCATTTCACAAATTAGAATTTCTTCATAATTTTATTTTTGAAATTGAGATTGATTTTTAAAAATTTAGCATATTTATCAAGCATAATTAACGTTCCAAATAATTATAAAGCTATTGCATGCTTTCAGGGCTGGATATTTTTTTAGCTTTTCCTATCCTGTAAGGAAATTTGTAACTACTAATTTTAGAAAATAATATTTTAAATCTGAACTAACAGAAAATTTCAAACAAGCAATTTTTATGCTTTTTATTGGTGTAAATAAGTAAAAAATACTAAAATATTTAAAAACGAATCTTTGAAAGTTTTGTTTAAAATTCTAAATTGTGCTGCTTTTTTAAAATTATAGATGAATATTATAGCACAATTTCTATAAAGAAATTTTATTTCAATTATATTTCATAATACATCGTAGTAATAAACAATTTTGACTCCTTAATAATTTTTATGCGTTTAATTCTAATATTAAAATTGTATTTAACCGTAATAATTAATTTTGCTTGTATTTTATAATGATTATTTTTTCAATTTATTTTTAGTTCTACATAAGATTTTTTTTAAATTTATTGTTAATTTAATTTGTTAGCCCAAAGGGTCGGTAACCTAGAAAGGCTGTTAGTTTCGAAGCGACATTTTGCGCTGTTCTACTATAAATGTCCGTGTCTCCTTGCAAATTGTTGTTACCAAATATTTTCGCCCTGTATTATATTTAAAGGAATTAAATAATGAAGGATCTGCGTGAAGACATGTATGTTTCTCGCACTGTGATAAAAACGATAGTATCTAGAGCCATCAAATTTTAATTAATGTAATCCTCCATTCGGACATGGGCATCTGGACGGCTGAATTTCGAATTTGTTTTAATCTATTTCACATTTTGGAAAACTTTAAGGAATTTTTGATTAACAATCTCAACGACTGCAGAGAGAGCACTAAACGGAAAATAACAGTTTTATCTCCTGTGCGGAAAATCTAAAGATATGCTGTTTTCAAATGTATGTGGTTTACGGGAGAAGAACATGATATTTAATAAATATAGGTAACACAAAAACGTTAAAAAAAGGTTCCTTCTTGGCGTAATATAAAGTGCTGAGTGCTTCTAGATTTTATTTTACCTTCCCCCCTTTCATTACACTCAGAAAATTCTATGCTTCGAATTTTATAAATTACTAAAATAAATATTCCACTTTAATGTTAATAAGTTAATGATGATATAATCAAATAAATGATTGTTTTTTAATGTTATTATAGTTTTGAAAATCACTGCCTGAAAATGATCATTAAATTTTTTAAAAAAAGTTTTCAGATCTTGTTCATTTCAAAGCATCACGTACTATCACATACTACTTTTACGTTATTTGTACGCAAAATTAAGTTCATAAATTTTGTGCCTAGAGTTTTTACTGTTTTACCAGAGTAAAGATGTTTGTACAAGAATTACGCGTGAAAAAAATGCGCGAAATGCAGTAAAAAGTGCTTTAATGATATATATTAAATCCTATTTGGAAAAAACTGTGGCTTTCATAATCTCATCCCTATACAACGTATCACATTTAATAATTAAAAAGAGTTATGTGATACAAACGTCTTAGGTTTTCATTGCTAAAGTAAACCAGATCGTCCCTACTCTTTCTTGCCGACAAGTCGGTGACGCGCGCCCCGCCTACTGGTTTAGTCTATCTCTTATAAGGTCCATGGTCAGAGATGGAGAAATCTATATTTGGAGGGTGATTATAATATTTTAGCCAATCAGTGCATGCATAAATGGTCTGATATCGTTAATACTGTTTTATGTCAAAATAAAGAAAACCACCTTACTTCATTTTGACTCTTTGTAAAGCAATAGGTAATTAATTACGTTATAATTAGTTCATTACAAATGAACAACTGAAAAACTGCATATTGATTACAGCGATCAAACGTCAAAAATTTCAATGTGTATGCATTACTGAATTTTAATTGTTGGAGTCTTTAATAAATTATTAAATGGACAGGAATATTTTAATATTCTTATAAAAATTCTAAACTTCCTTATGAAATATTTTGCATAAGATAACACTATAATAATGATGAAATATCACGAATACAAAATATTATTTTCTCTAGCATACTGCATTTAATTTCGTTTCGCATATTGACAATTTTGCGTACATGCTGTAGATTATTACTTCGCATACATAATAAAAATTAAATTCACTTTGTTATGAACAGAGATAGTTTAATGAAAAGTTTAGACTGCAAACAGACTTTAAGCTAACTGGCGACACTGCACATACAGAGAATCACGTGATTACAAGATAACTCTGATTCAGGAAAAGGCGCAGAGCAGTGCTTTTGTGCAACTCGTGCTTTCTGGTGCACCGAAAGTTTAGCAGAGTGTTTCCGAAAAGTCCCCAAACATAACAAATGTTAAAATATGGCCTACAAAGTTTCTGCTGACAATATGTGACAAGAGTTCATTATGAGGTAATCGGCATTGGAAAACGGAAATGTTGGTCGAAAGACACAGAACTGCTCGGAGCCCAGAGAAAGTTTGATTCTGCAAAGGCTGTTGTACTTGCACTTGCTACCCATGCTGTCTGGGATTATCCAATATTGCATTCATTCGAAGCATGGGAATCTTTGCTCGATATATACGGATTATGGCAATGTATTCCCTAACTTGGTTAATCGTTTCTTCATTAATGTCCTAAAATTTTGCAAGGATTGTTGATGCTTTCACATCGCGGACGCCATACGCTGATGAATTTTCGTCCCAAAACAATTTCAACACTGGATACAACGTATTCCAGCATACGACTAGCCCTTCTAGGGATTACATGATCTTATCAAATTACTGTGCTGTCTGGTAAGATTTTAAACATTTCATTTCGCTGAAATTACTCTGCGTCTTAAATATTATAGTAAATTAAAGTGTGGAAAGGACTTTTGAAAAATCCTGTATATTTAGTAAGAGAGGTATGTAGCAATAAGGAAAAAGTGCATTTCTAATTTCGGTTGGAAATTAAAAACTTATTGTTCAAGAGAAAATTTTATCCGACTTCTTCGTGACAGTTACTCGCTGTCAGGCGATGCTATAAGAATGCCTGTGCTCTTGAGAGATGAATCTTATACTGCACAATATGCTTCAATGAAGAAGTGTAATTTTTTAGCAACATTTTTATGTAACTTGTATAAGACATTCAGCAAAACTTCACTTATTCATATCTTTTCATTCAAAATTTCAATCTCGAAAATTTTACAATCTCAAAACTCAAACTAAATTAATTCAACTATTATCCCAGTATGTTAATATTTTGCAAAGTTTTTAACCCAAAATGTATTTCTTCACATTCCTTTCTGGTTATACATCCAAAACAAAAAATATGTTATTCTGATGTAAATCGATTAAAATTACTCACATAAATAAGTTTTAAAAAACATAATAATTTCAATATAAACTGAGTAACAGTTTTAGTATGAAATTTAAAAGAAACTGTGTATCCGATTTTACTCAAAATGACACAGAACTCTCTTCAATGACACAGAGCTAAAACATTGAGTTTTTTTAGCTCAAAAGTAAAATTTTTGATACAAATAATTTTGTTTGATTTAAATGAGCTCAAATTCTTTCAAACTTGTGTAAGAATAATATGTCATTTCCTCTTTCAACAGCTGGATCAATTATTGGATCCTTTCTTGCGGTCTACTTCAAACAACGTGGTCTTGCCTTGTCAGAACTTTCAACGATATTTATGATATCACCATTCGCCCAATTTCTAGGATCAACAGCATCAGGAATAATAGCAGATAAGCTGGGAAGATCCAAGCCCGTTCTAGTAGGCAATCTCGTAATTACCCTGCTAGCTGTTACTGGCATGCTGTTGATGCCAAGAATGAACTCCGAGAGTTGTAATCCACAGCCATTAAATATCAAGTGTCATTATCAAGAATTCTACAGATTAATGGTAAGATCTACTTGCGACATCGAAGATAAGGTCTTCGAAGTAACATCTTGCAACATTCAGTGCCCCGAAAATGTTACTGAGTACTGTTTCGGACAAAATATCATTTGCGAAATTTTGGAGAGCAGTGAAGGAATTGCGAATTTTTCTTTATTGATTCATGTGAATGAGACTTTTAAAACAAAAAATAAATGCTTTTATAACGTTCGTGCTTTGACGCACAAAAATAGAACTTATTCGTGGTGCAATGTGCCACATAAAATGTACTGTAGAATAAATTGTTCATATTTTTCCGAAGAAAAGTGTAATCGGGAAAGAGGATCAAGATGGAGACTTTTGGTGGCTAACATGGTGTTGTTAATGCTCTTTTTCACTACATTTACTACCTGCTACCGTATTTTTGACGTTACTGCTATGTCTTTGGTTAAAGAATATAATTCTGATTTTGGTCGTGAATGTTTCTTTTCTGTTCTTGGTGTTTTGATATTTACTCCCGTCGCTGGGTATGTTGTAGATGCGAACACTTCTCCAGGTGATGAAAAGCACTATGCATCCGCATTTTACTGTTTCATTGGGATGTGCATATTAACTTTAGCAATTATTTATAAATTAAAAGTAAAAATTAATCCACCAGGCAGAAACATGTGGAAAAAGGCTTTGAATTTATTAAAAAATGCCGATCTTATTTCATTTATCTGCATTCTTTTCATGCTTGGTACTACATGGAACTTTATGAAGAATTTTACAAACTGGTTCCTTGTAGAGCTTGATACTCCAGGCATTTTATTCGGTCTGATTCCAGCAGTGAATGGCATATATGGACTTCCATTTCTGTTGACATCTAAATGGTGGGTTCAGAAAATTGGTTCTCCCAACATATTCTTATTAGCACTTTTAGGATACGTTTGTAGTGCAATAGGATATTCATTTCTGTTTAACCCTTGGTACTCCCTGCTATTAGAAGTAACATCAATTTTTACTTTTCATTTGTTGTGGGTTACTGTCATTCTTCATAGTCACGAAATTGCACCCGAAGGACTGACGGCGACAGTTATTTCTACAGCTGGAGGTATCCATTTTAATATAGGTATGTATTCCAGCATTTCTAAACAAATGATTAAGTCTTAACCAGGGCTTAAGAACAGTATTAAACTAGCGAGGAGTTTACAGAAAGTTCTATTTCGAAAGACACTGACATATCTCCTTCTTCTTCAAACAACTGCAGAATCAAAAGCACAATAACAACCTTGTATTTAGCGTACATATATTAAAACACTTAATCGATTTCGAGGATAGCTAATGGTCTCTCCTCATCAGAAGAACGAAATTACTGGAAAGGGGGGGGGAAAGAAGAAAAATAAAGCATTGGCAAAGGAGTCTCAGAAACACGTGGTCGTTATCAGCAACGCACGCGGTTGTAACCAGATTTTGAATCAGAGTTACACTGGCCGCCTACTTTACTGAGCCAGGCTATCTGATCAAACATAAAAAACATAGACTAAAACGCAAAAAATCAGCGAAGTCAAAAAATAGGGAGCGAGAGGCAACTGCACCTTCACGCATTAAGTCTGAACCTCGAATCCTTTAGCCTCCCTCGAAATCGATTGAGTGTTTTAATATACGTACGCTAAATACAAGGTTGTTATTGCGATTTTGATTGTCACATTGGCTTGTTTCTTTTCTATTCTAACTGCAGAATGTTTTTTGCTTCAATAAGAAGGCAAATGTATGCCAGTTAGCTTCGAAATTGATTAACTATACATATTTCTGAAATTATTTTTTTGGGTTTATTTTACATATTTCATTAGTATATATCTCTTCTATATGATAAATATAGTACTTTGCTTTAAAATAGTTTCTGGGCACACTTTAGAAACATTTGAATAATGTAATAGATTTTAAGTTTACATTTTAAAAAAGAAGAATTTTTGATTCAGTAAATAAAAACCTTTTCTTTTCTTTCCTCCTCCTTCTGTTTTTCCTAGGATTGGCGCTTCGACACACTTAACAGGATACATAAGATCTTTAACGCAGTGATCTAGAGTATTAATTAATTTCATATTAATTATTGATTTTAATTATTAATTAAATTATAATTTATTTTATATTTTTTTATTATTAATAAAATCAATAACTAATTTCCTTATTAATTAATTTTATTATTATTATTAATTAAAATCAATAATTATTAATTAAAATCAATGATTTTAATTACTAATTATTGAGTTTAATTAATAATTAATTATTTTATTATTAATTATTTTAATTATTAATTAAAATCAATAATTAATTTCATTTATTAATTATTAAATAGTAACTATTTAAAGCCTGTAAAGTTTTCTTCGAATTTGTCCATGACTAATTCGAAAGAAAATCAGTTGTTCATAACAGCATAGTCGAGCAAAAACAGTGGATACATAATTATATAAATGATGCGGGCGTTCGTTTCTCTCTTCTGATACCAGTATTGCAGAAATTTCTAATTCGTAAGTTTATGAGTTTGAAAACAAGTTCAAAATTTATAAGGTTCGGTGAGTGAACTCGCTAATCATACTATAAAAATGATCCTATGAAATATGATCTTACAAGTTTATAAGGTATTTCCTTTCTTCTCTCCAGCATGCCTTCGTGGTGTAACGGTAGCACACTCGTCGTGTATTCGAATGATCCAGGTTCGAGTCCTGGCGAACGCATTGCACATTTTTCAGAACTTCCTGCTTCAAAATAATCTAATGACTCCACAAGTTTTTAAAAGTTTAATTTAATTCTACAGTTTTGCGATACGTTAAGAATCCCGACATATTAGTTGGAAACATTAGCCTAATGTACTACTATTCACAAACTTTACCAGATTTGATAGATTCAGTCCTTCAATTAATGAAATATATGTCCCAACATTATGGAATAGTCACATTTGAACAAAATTTGTTCAATGAAGCTTTTATAGACAGAAATTTGAAATTTGTTCAAATACGATTTTAAGGAAAAATTAGCTTTATATTTCTTTCTAAATGACAAGGAATTTTTAGAAATGAATGCGTCCTAGAGTAATAAGCATATTTTTTTCACAACTCTATCGGAAATTTTATGTTAATTTTTCCAGCTATTTATAATTTCTATGTTTACTATAATTTCTCCTTTCCGTATTTCTCACCAGAATTCAAATTAGTAATTTGTTCTCATATATAGCGATAATTCGCTTCACGTATGTTAGGATTCTTAGACGGAAGTAACATTAACAGATCAAATGTTATTCCAGAACTACTACAGCATTGATTTAAAAGAAGTCTTTGTATGAACTTATTCTTAAGATGATTAAAAGCAATGTTTCTTGTAATAAAGGTTAACTCAGAAAATATAAGATAATAAACATCTATAAGATGATAACCTCCATAACTCTTAAAAATAACGAGAGAGTGCGGCATATCTTAAAATAAAACATAATTTAATTAAATGAAAACTCACATATACAATGGTTACAGCCGAAAATGTCACGGCAAATATATTGCAGGCGAAAACGTCGCGGGGAATACAACGCAAGGCGAAAACAACGTGGTACAAAACATCGTGGCAGAAAAGAAAGCAAAAAGAAAACATCGCAGTTCTAAATCATCTTGGTACAAAATATCGTGATCGAAAATAAAGTGGTTCAAAAACTTTTTTTCGCAGTTAAAAAACATCGTCGTCGCACACATGCGTTTTTTAAATCCCGTACTGACACTGACTCTCGTCATAACTAACAAATCGATATCCAAAAAAACTGATTGAACGCTAAACATGAAAATATTCACACTTTAAGAATAAATATATCACTTCAAGAATAAAAAGGACACAAGTTTCATTAAAACGATATCAGAATAACAAATGTGAAGGAAAATAATTTGATAATTAACTAAGCAATTTTTATAGAAGTAACCTCATGAAGTTATTTGTCTCCCTTCTTTTAATCATTTTAAACTGTATTTTCCATAAAAAATTACCAGTAAAACATGATAAAAAAGGTTAATTTATAAATGACGTTTGTTAAATAACTATGTAAATTTAAAATGCTATTGATTTCTATAGGTTGTATTAATTTTCTACTCATTTTCAATTTTTAAATGTTTAAGTTTCCTTCTTATTTTTTCAACAGAAACGAATTATTTTATTCAAAAATATGAAATGTAGAAGTAAAAAGAATCCCTCTTTCTTTCTTGGGCTTCCAAATCATTATGCGAACATGCATTTACAACTTTTAAAACCTGAAAACGAATGTGTGCAATGATTTTGTAAGTATTTTATTTTTTACCACGATATTTTTTCCACGACGATGTTTTTAAATTGCGAAAGTTTTTGAACCGTTTTGTTTTCGACTAAGATATTTCGTACCATGATGTTTTAGAACTGCGATGTTTTCTCCTTGCTTCCTTTTCTCCCACGATATTTTGTACGAGGACGTTTTGAAGAAAACTTGCGTAGTTTTCTTCGCGATGTTTTTATCACGATGCTTTCGGAGGACGTCTATACAACATACAGATGTTTACTAACTGTTACCGAACACAGCGAAGTTGCATGTTGATATTTGTTAAAACAGTAGAAGCATAAGATTTCCTCTTTATCCTGAGAACTTTACGTCAGTCCTCGTGACTGGCGGATGGAGAGACGCCATTCGCAACATTTACTCGCCCCATTTTAGTTTACTGGATGGCTACTCAAAACATTAACTAACAATTTCAAATTCAAACTGTCATGTTTCTTTCAAATAGGAGCAAAGTGAGTCTCAGTCGTCTTGGACTCATAGTCATCATTTGGATGCGGAGGTTGTAGAGACATTAGGTATTTTTTGGACGCAGGCAAGATGAAAAATTAGCAATCGCCTTTCCCGGGAATCGAACCACGGACCTCTGGAATACAGGCCCAGCGTGCAGAACCACTACACCACGAAGGCGGGAGAAATACCTTATAAGATTATACTGGCTAGTTATTTGAAAAGCGGAACTTCTTTTGGAAAAGGCTCTACGAGCAAGTCTCTGCTGCTAATCTCTATGAAAATATTATTTGAAAAAGATAAATTAGCATATTATAATGTGTTTTCATCTTCCTTAAAAAAGTAATATAATGTAGTTTTATCTGGTTAAAAGCCAATTTAAGCGGGTTTTTTTTTTAAAATCATCTTCTAATGAGACGATGCCGTCGAGTTATGAGGAATTTGCCGCTGGTTTGACTAAGCTTACCAAAATATTCCTTTCTAAAACGTAACGTCAGATCTTGATTTAGTACGGTACCTTATTCTTTTCGCAAATTTTTGCATCGATCTATTTTACGTTCGCAAATTCAAAATTTCATGTTTTCTTACAACTACGGTAAGGGTCGGAAATATATAACTCTTTCACAATCGCATTTTATGATCACTAATTCTTCATAATATATAAAAATTTATTCTAGTAATCTTCTAAGGAAATCTTCAATAATTCTAGCGTCTCCTAAAGTTTTTCCACTATTTCGCAGTTAAAATGTGTATCGTTTTCTCAATACACGTTTCTAGGTCGTCCTTCTCTGGTTATGAAACTAAATGAAAGCAAAAATGCATCTGAATTCACAGATAGTTTCCATCTCCTAGTTTTCTTCAAATGTTGTCAACTAAACTTAACAATAGTCCTACAAATTATTTGAATTGAATGTTCTGTGTTTCCGTCTGACACAGAAAATAATGCTTTCCAGGAATTTGTAACTTTTATAAACTCCATCGGTATTTGTAACATTAAGCAAGAAACGTAAAGACTTATTCCCTAATTTTGCAAGTATTGGCACCAGATTTACTAGAGTGAATTTTTATCCAATCTAAGACGAATCAGAGGTTGCTTAATTAATTAGTATATGTAATATTTTTATATGGAATTCAAGGAACACTGAATGCTGAGTATCGGATATAAACTGTTTATAAGTTACTGTTTAACTGAAAATACTTTTATCTCAAACTAAAAACAAATGAATTTTAATTTTGAGCATTTCATCCTTCTAGCTCTTCAATAGTTAATAATATTTAATTCTTAATACTGTAATTTTCAAGACCTATAATGCTAACTTCTAATTATTAAAATAAATAAAAAAAAATAACCTTTGCGAAGCAGTATGCCCTTTATGAAAATTCGGGATACACTCTTGACCATATCTCTTTATTGTTTGTTAAATGCAGAAGTAAAGATGGATATCAAGATGGCGAAGTATAAGAAGATTATTGTTATTAAAAAACGACTGAGAAACTGAATGATCTCCAGTTGTCTCTGCAAGGAAAATAATAGAAACATATTTACTTAGGATGATAAAAGTGAAGCTTAAATTAAAGAGAACAGCATACGGAAGGAAATGGTCGAAAATAATTCACTTGAAATGTTTTCGACTGTCGACAGTTTTATACTTGAGAAACATAATTATAAAACTTCATGGCAAAAATTATTATAGATCAGTTAAAAACATTAGAAATACGATTTCACAAATAACATCGAATTTTGATTTCAAAAATCTTGAATTAAAAAATAATTTTTTATTGACATTAACGAGATAAATCCTCTTCCATATAAAACTAAAGAGCAGTCTGGTCAGCTTTCAATTGAATTCAACTTTCTGAAATGTAATTTTCCTGAAACATCCTTGACTGAATTGTGGACCGGAGATGAAACTGAATTTCTGGTGAATTCTGAAATGGCGTTAAATCTTCTTCTGCCGTTCAACACCCCATACTAGTAATATGAGAAGACATTTCAAGCTTCAAAGCTTACTAAATTCAAATATTGTTCAACGATTAAAAATGTTTAAGCTGTTTTATATCTTGCTGTGTCAAATATTGCACCAAGATTTAATTTGCTATGCAGCAAAAAACCAAGCACAACCGTCTCATTAAAACGTAATTTTCTTTCATTAATTTCTGTATACCTGAAACAAATATTAAAACTAATAAAATATGCACATTGTTTACCAAATAAATAAGCTATTTAAGAAAAAGGATTTATTTTTGTATCATTATTTCATATTTAATATCTGGGGTCGCTAAAATTTCTAGATAAAAAGGCAATGAATGAAAAATGTTTAATAAGCGTTGGCTTATAAGAACAACTCTGGATTTCGTTCTAATTAACTGAATTCTTACTCCATGATATGTGACAACGATAAACTTACAAAATAGACCCCTCCAAAAGCATTCAAAAAAAATAATGCATTTCACTGGTTTCATTTATAGGCCTTTTCTGGGATAGGCATTTCAGTAAAGCAAGTATTGAAATCCTTTACAAAGAAGGTTATCGGACAAATGAGCGCCCCAACTTAGTTATGATTTTTACACTTTTTGTACAATGGAATTAAAAGTTTCCTGCAGCAAAGCTAATATATTTTATTTTTTGGTAAACGTTTACTCATTACCGAATCTTTAAAAATTCAAATTGCGTCTTAAGGTTGTAGGGTTTATATTTATTTTAACTAACATTTATTTTAAGTTTAAACTATCTTTCCTGTCAAGCCTTACTTTCCCCTGGAATTGCCAATGCCAGAATATGTAAATTTTGAGTAGAACGCGCAAGGATTCAAATTATCAGCGGAAGTATTCTGATTTAAATAGAAGGAAACAAGTTCGGTGTGAGAGATTCTTACTTAGCGAGCGCGGAGGTAGTTAGCAAGAATTGAAGAACCCCGCGTTGCGGCCTATGTGCTTGGCGGGAAGTAGTGGCAATTGTTCCAGTGAGCTTCAAGTCTGGTGAATTAGCAGCGGTATTGTAAAACGCGGTGAGTTAGTTATTTTAGAGAGCCTCGTAGTTAGAATCTTGTCTTTATTTTCTTTTCAGGTTATTATTTTTATTTTGACTGCCAAGTTGGCACAGTTTGTAAGCGTCAAGAGGACGCAATTGTAATTTATTACGTTGAATAAAAGGGACTTAAACCCTTTACAAGACTCTGTGGTTTATACAAGCTTTCACAGTCCCTTGGTTGCGTGCAAGTTGGAGGCGCGCAACGTTATAAGGTATTCTTATCTAGATCCTATGCAATACAAAATAAGTTTTGTTACACGTTTTTTAGATGCAAATTTACAGTCTGCATTGCTTTCTTAGTATTCAAACTAAAACAACCTCCACTCATAACCTGCTGAGCGTTTTCAATACAAATTTCCCTTTCTATTACATCTGAAATACCTTTCATACAATTGCATATATAAAACTGCTTATATAGTTTTTATATTTTGAGCAAAACATTGAGCGGCAAACGCGAAATTGAGGCTGCTAACAAAAATTAGCTCGACGCGACTATTCTACAATTATTTGTAGATAACGTCCATACTTGCAGAAGGATAGAAAAATCGCAAATTATCTCGATCTTCAAACACTGTACCTAGCTGTAAAAATGCACTTTTATTTCTGCTGAAAGAACTATTTGATAAATTTGAGACCTATCAATAACATCAGGAATGAGCTAAATCATATTAAACCTCTTAAATAAAAGATCATTTGAAGAGTACCTCTTCTTTTAGATGTGTCAAATACGAGTATAATCCTTACTAAATTGCTATTACTTTTTATAATAGAACGATGAAATAGAAAATGACCACTCTTGGTATTATCTGTAGCCCTTTCATTAATACCAGTTACTCCTCCTCCTCAAATACATATTTATATTAATTACAAAAATTATTTATCTTTCTTGTGAAGGCACATTTTCTTTTGCCGTTTATAAGTTGATTCTTGATTAGAAAGCAATTACCTTATTTCGGTTTAAGAGGAAATCAAAGCTTATAAATATCTCTAGAAATGAATTTTAAACTGTTTTTAAATTGCTCTAACACTCCGTCGTATTAATTTAGAAGTCAAGCAACAAAAGTCGGCGTTATATTTTCAAATTTTCACAGGACAAGTTTCGATGGTTTTACTGAACCATCACCCTCAGCTTCAAAAGCGCAAATCTGGTATCTTAATTACTCTGTCGTACTTTCGTGCTTTTATTTTTCACAAAGTCTGAAGTCTCGATATTTCTAGCCCCATTAACTCTCTAATTGATAAGTTATACACTTGCAAAGTTGTAAGATTTATAGGCATGGAATATATCTTAGAATAATAAACATAAGTTATTTTACAATTATTATCACATTTGTTTTCAAATAATTTTTCTATGAACGTAGTCCTAATCTGATTAAAATTATGAAAATATGCACAGTTTCGGCAATTAAGTCAATCAAATAAATTTGGTTAACTTAGGTTTGGACCGCGTATGGCTTTAAACCCACTCAGATCCAGAAATTCAGTGTTGTTGCAATTCCCTCATTTTCAGTATAATTTTTTCTATCAAGTACATCTTATCTATAATTTTAAGTTTAGATAGTTTAGCAGATGGGTAAAAGAGCTTCGAACTTTTTAAAATCTAAATTGCTGATAAAAAATTATTTCCTAGTCTTAGAAGGTACTACTGAAGCTTACTTGCTACCTCAGACAAAATCTGTTTAATTAATAACAAGAATCAAGCAAAACGAATGAGCAGCGTGCCAGAAATCCGTTTCATCCTCTCAATTCATAACTTATATATTTTCATGAGGAGAACAGTTGAACAAATTTCTCTTAAACTAGTCTTACTTGTAACTTTCAACCTCTTCACAAGTACTTAGATAAATAAGTACAGCTGGGCAAGGCAAATAACGGAATGGTTGTCTTTAAGTTTGAACCGATTCTTTGCTGAAGAGTATCTAAGGGGAACTATTGCATTTAACTGCATTATAATTTTTATATTTTATTCCCATGCTAAAAGAGGGAAGAGAGGTTAGCTTCCTTTCAAGTGGTGTTTCATCTGAGTCCTGAAACTTCGCAAACTTAAGTCATACATTCACAGCTGGGCAAGTATACAGGCAAGGCATTTTGACTATGTACTTGAAGTATTAGTCAAGATGCCTTACCATCTAGTAAATGTAAATCATCTAGTACAATGAATCGCCAAGAAGTCAAAATCATATGAACATGTATGCTTTCATTCTTTAAATGTACAAAGCCTGTAGAAAATTAATCCATTTCTAATGAAGTTAGAATGCGACAAAATGCTTTAGATGCCATTATAAATCTGAGTACCTATTATGCATTTACAGTGTGTTGAAATAACGTAAATTTCCTCATAACGGTATTTTGATTTTTCCATAGGCAAAGGTTCAGGTAGTTTGATTGGTGGATTAATAATGGATTCTTTTGGAGGCAGAATTGCATACCGAGTCATAGCCGTTATTTGCCTGATTTCTGCAGTAATGTATGGAATTTACATTTACATACGTCGCATTTATTTCACACAAAATCATGATGTCAAAAACAGAGGTAAATTTTATTTCTCAATAAGTATAAGATTTAAAACTATAACTTGTTCCTTTTCGAAATATGTCAAATCTATACATGAATTTCCTGCTGTTCTCATATATCGTACTGGATTTAAATTATTCCAGTAACAATTACTCAATTTTACGATCAGCTATGCTAATGGTTTCAGAAATAATTATTTTTTCATAAAATAGATTTGAATAATTAAATAATCTTTTTCATTTCAAATGGGTTAATCAACTAGAAATTATTGAACCGTAATATTTGCTTTACTGAACAGAGTTTCTTTTGAATCCATTCAATATTTATTCCCTTTTATAATCTTCCACTGAAGCAGAAAGAATAAATGTTTAATAAAAGCTGTGTTTTGGTAGAAATTTTTAATTGTATTTATACTAGGGAAGTGTAAAAAACAGGTTATAAACTGATGTGGGAAAACAATTATTTATGGGTAGTATCACCATAATTCATACTGAATGAGTAATGCCAGTGCTATACAAAGATACTCCTGATATTGTCCAGATGAGACAGTACGCTGCGATTGAGAAGCCCTGGACGTTTTCAGCGAATTGAGTCACTGTTGTCCACAAAAAACTCCTGATATTATGAAGGTGATCAATACTCTGTGACTCAGTTTGACTGGACGTTTTCAGAGAATTAATACAGTGTTACCCGAAGCTGAAATAGTACACAATAGTATGATGCAGCAATCACTTTCGTTTCACTCCTTTAAAAATGGACCAGAGCAGAAAAAACGCATCACAATCCACTTCTCTTCTAATGTATAATCTCTGCAGTTAAGGTCTAGACTGTGGGTTTCTGGATGTGCAGGTCATTTTGTAAGGATCTTAAGTTTTACTAACGTTTATTTTATTTTAAATCTTTACTATCACTTCTTATTTTCTACTTCCGGCCAGAATTATAAGCGTGAAGGTTTTTATGCAAAGTTTGTCTGGCGAACGCCAAGTATTTAAGTTGTGGCCTTTTTGCCAAGCAAGAGAGAGGAAGCAGTGAGTCGAAGCAGGCCGCTTACCTTAGAAGTTACGCAGTTGCTGTTTGCCTTCCAGGCCAGAGGTTTTAATCCTCTTGATAAATTAAACGTATTGCAGTGTTCACAGTCTCTGTGCTACATACGCTTCCTGTTATTATAAGGCCAATCTTCCACGTTTATTATTCTAAAGTTAAATTAGAGTTTAGTTTTATTTTTTAGAATTTTACGTTAGACCCCGAGTGGAGGGTCAGTGTATTCCGAAGTACGGAAGTTATTGTATATAGAGAAAAATAAAGGGTTTTGTATACCCTTCGTCTGTATCCTGTCTACTTACCACAATTAGTGAACATAGCTTTAGTAAGCTCTCTGTTCCGAGTCAGGTCCATTGTATGTTCCCGAAGAAGGTTAGAAGGAACATTGAACCTGATAGTGGCGCCCCAACGAAGAAGAATAACCATGGCCGAGTTTCAAGAAGAACCTGTGCTGCCTGCAGAAACGGCTCAGAATCCAGAAATGCCAGCTGCCGCCCTGGAAGGATTTGGGTTACATCGTCCAGACCATGCGCGCTTCGATGAAACCAGAAGCAACGTTTAATGGAAACTCACCGGTAACCAGTTTTTTTGGAAAAATTGGATGACCACTTCATGCTCTACCCCGTGCACGAGTTTCAAAAAGTTACCTTAGCTACCAGCGCTTTGAGGGGCCAAGCGCTTAACTGGTTCAAATGTATCGGCAGAAGTCTCTTGGGTCAAGCAGGAAGTCCCACCTATACTTACGAAAATTTCAAGACTGCCCTACTAAAAGCCTTCCCTGTTGTAAGGGATCGTGCGAAATTAGAAACGGAACTTTTCAGTATATATCAACAAAGAATCGAAAACCTCTCGAGCTTTATTTTAAGAAAAATTCACGTTTTCAAGCTCTTGTATGGAAACCGTCCGGATCCTGAAATAATTCAAGTGATTTTGCCGAGGTTACTACCCCAAGTGCAAGACTTTATTGAATTAAGAAATCCGACTACACTGGAAAAGTTATTTGAGCTAGCAATCCAGTTTGAAAGTAGAAGAACGGCGGACGTCGAAAGAAGACGCCAATATCAACAGCGAAACCAATTTGGTACGCCAAGACTACAGCAAAGCAAACTCAACACGGCTACGGAAGAAAAAGCGAATCAGTGGGCAAGGAAACCCGAGCATTCAAAAACAGCCGGCGAACGTCGACAGTTCAATAGCAACCCAGGAAAAAAGTCTCAAGGCCAGTGGGAAAAGAAGGAAAGCACGGAAAGGAAAAATAATTTAAACTAAACTAAAACGGATTTCTGCTGACGAGAGGGTGCGGAAATCCGAAGGCCACGAAAACCCCTCTTCCTACAAGTTAAATACAGTAATGGTGAAAAATTTGACTCTTCCGAAGATTGAAGTCTTGGTGAATAATATCCCGGCCACCCACCGCACTCCTGGATACCGGCGCGCAGTGTTCCTGTGTGGCAGAAGTCTTTTTTAGAAAGTATTTTCGCAAATACCGCATATATAATGCGGATAATACGACAGTATTAGCGGCGCAAGGAGAACAATGTAAGTGCGTAGGTAAAGTACCTTTGTATATCCGTATCAAGGACGAACAAGTAAAGGTGATGTTTTTTATAGTAAAGAATTTGCAAGCACATTTAATCTTAGGAATAGACTTTCTTTCTTTCAGACGCACAAGCAACACTGGATTTTAATGAAGCGTCCCTTAAGCTGACAATGAAACCAGTTCGTGTAGAAAAGGCTGAACCGCGCCGAGGTTAAATCTTGACCACCTGCCTAATGACGAGCAAGAAAGAATCCGACAAGTGGTAAGTGAATTTGCTTCGTTATTTAGTGATATTCCAGGATTTACTCAGGTTACTAACCATAGTATTGACACCGGAGATGCATTGCCAGTTCGTCAAAAACCATACCGGTATGATAAGAATAAGGAAAAAATTATAGAATGGCATATTACCGATATGCTACGTAAAAAAAAATCATAACGCCCATCTCAAGTAGTTATGCTAGCCCGATGGTTTTATGTAAGAAAAAATAATGATTATCCTTTGGAGCATCCAAAAAGGTGGAGATTCGCTATTGATTACCGTAAATTAAATTCCATAACGAAATATCCGGTATATCCGTTACCGATCATAGAAGAAATTTTAAGGAACATAAAATCAACCAAATTTATGACGACTTTAGACTTAACAACGATGGTTATTTTTCAAATAGGGGTGAGGCCTGAGGACGTGCCTAAGACTGCTTTTATAACCAAGTCTGGCACTTATGCATTTTTGCGTATGCCGTTTGGCCTTTCAGGGGCCCCAGCAACATTTCAGCGATGCATGGACATTGTGTTAAGACCTGTTCTTGGAAAGTCCACATTTATCTATTTAGACGATATCATTATTACTAGTGATAATCTCGACCAACATGTACAGGATTTAAGACAGGTGTTTTCTTTATTAAATGAGGCCGGTCTAAAAGTTAATGTCGAAAAGTGCAAATTTGCAGCCCCTGAATTAAAATATTTAGGTTACAAAATATCTCAAAAAGGGATCGAGACAGATGAATCAAAAATAATCGCTGTACAAAAGTATCCGACTCCAAACACGGCAAAGAAGCTCTCTTCTTTTCTAGGACTTTGTTCATATTATAGGTCCTTTATAAAAGATTTTGCGGCTATCGCTGAGCCATTGTTAAAATTAAAAAGGAAAAAGGCAAGATTCTCGTGGACGGCCGAAGCCAATAGTGCTTTCGAAAAATTAAAACAAGCATTAACGCAAGCCCCTGTGTTTGAAATTTCCTGAAAAGGATGAGAATTTAGAAATTTCAGCGGATGCTTCGGATTATGCGGTAGGAGCGGTACTTTCGCAAAATCAGCAGCCCGTGGCATTTTTTAGCCGAACTTTAAATCAAACACAAAGAAACTATTCCGCGACCGAGAGAGAGGCACTTGCAGTTCTGTTAGCAGTGCAAAAGTTCCGAGTCTATTTTGGAAAGGCGCCGATAACAGTATATTCTGATCATGCGGCGGTAACTAGATTGTACTCAGGGAAAAATTTATCCCCAAGGTTAATAAGATGGGCACTCAAGCTGCAAGAATATAATCTGGTAATCAAGCATACCCCCGGAAAGGAAAATATCGTAGCAGATGCCCCTATCACAGAATTAAAAATAGACGAACAAGGTAATACCGTAAAGAAGGCAATGCTGACAGCATGTACAATAAATTCCCGAGAAACTGTAATAACCGAACTGGGTAAGGATCCTGAGTTTGGAAGCATTTATGAGTATTTGAAGGATCCTGAAAATTTTAGCCACCAAGATATTGTGGCGATAAGAAATAGGGCGGCCCCATTACGAACTAATAGATGGTCTATTATTCTACACAAAAACTACGAATTCCAACAACGAATTTCGACCTGTTATCCCAGCTAGTCTTAGATTAAATATCCTGCAGGAGCTCCATGACAGCCCTTTAGCTTCTCATGCTGGTATTCGAAAAACTATCCAACGCGTACGCGAGGCAGTCTACTTTCCTGAACTGCAAAAGTTAACAAGGGCGTATGTCCAGTCCTGCCCAACATGTCAAGAAGTTAATTTCCGCCCGGCCGGGTTTCTAAATAGTATTAAATCCGAATTTCCAAATGAAATAATTGGCATCGATTTATTGGGCCCTTTCCCAAAAAGTCAGTTAAATAAAAGTCGCTATCTCCTTGTTATGGTTGATCATTTTAGTAAATGGACCGAAATTGTTCCCTTAAAACGAGCCTCCGCGAAATTAGTTACTGATTCTATTTTAAATAAATATATTTTAAAATACGGGGCGCCCCTAAAAGTTATATCGGATAATGGTCCTCAATTTGTAAGTAATATATTTGAAGACATGTGCCAAAAACTGGGCATACGTCATTTAAAAATGGTCCCGTATCGGCCGCAATCAAATATAGCGGAACGGGTCAATAGAAATATAGTGAAAATTATCCGTAGTTATG